ATTACATCACTTCCGCATTCACCTGTCAGTCATCTGGCTGCTATAGCCAAAGAGAAGAAGCTGATGAAGCAGATCTGTGCTTCATCAGCTTCTTTTAGGGTCCCCAGGTGACATTAGGGGTCCTAGAGACCCCTAATGTCTCCATAAAGAGGACCTGTCAGTGTGCCTGTGCTATCACATAGGGGGGTTGTTATCCCCTATGTGATGGCAATAACAATAAGTGTAAAAAAAAAAAAAATCTAAATAAAAAAAAAAAAAAGTCACATATAAAAAAAGTAAACAAAAACCCCCCAAAATGTTTAAGTCCCCCACGTTTACGCACATATAAACGTAAATATGCATCAGATGCTCGAAAATGACCATTGCGCTACACACGTTACATATCACCGCAAACGTCTGAGTGAGAGCAATAATTTTAGGGCCATCAATCACTGATAACACTAAACTGATGAGCGGTAAAAGCTTTTAAAGCGTCACCTATGGACAATTTTGGGTAATGTAGTTTTTTGAGGTTTCATGTGCAATTTTTTAAGGCTTGACATGTTTGGTGTCTTTTTACCCGACGTGACCCCGTCTTTTTATATTTTACCAAAAAATTGGGTAATAAATGTTTTAGAATCTAATATAGGGGAAGCATTTTTTTAAAAATTATTTTCTGTAATTTTTCCTAAATATATTTAAAAAAAAAACCCCCAGTGCTGATTACATAACATCAAAAGAAAGCTCTATCTGTCCCCAAAAAATGGTATAAAATTAATTTCAGTACAGCATTGCATGACGGAATAAATGTCAGTCAAGGTACTGCAGCGCTGAATACTGAAAAATGGCCTGGCCAGGAAGGGGGGTCTAAACACCTGGCCAGCAAGTGGTTAAAGGAGAACTAGGAGATGAGTGATTTCCACTCACCTCATAGTTTTAGCCGACCTGTGACAATGAGACTCACAGGTTGGCTCAGTAGATCGGGAGGTGAGCGAACACATACCGGGTTCGCTCACCTCTCGATCCTGTCACAGCTCTCTGCCGTGACGGGGAGGGGC